AAAAGAATTGGTTGGCCGTTTAACCAGTTTCTTTTCAGGAGGTAGCATATGATCGAGAACTGATGGAATTGAAGGAAAAAGTCCAAGCTGCACTGAAGGCATTGGCGAAAAACAAGTCTTCAGGAATTGATGGAATACAATTGAAATGTTTCAGCAAACAGATGCAGCACTGCAGATACTCGCTCGTCTATGCCAAGAAATTTGTAAGACAGCTACCTGGCCAACTGACTGGAAGAGATCCATATTTGTGCTCATTCCAAAGAAAGGTGATCCAATGGAATGCAGAAATTATCAAACAGTATTGTTAATATCACACGCAAGTAAAATTTTGCTGAAGATCATTCAAAAGCGGCTACAGCAGTATATGGACAGGAAACTGCCAGAAATTCAAGCTGGATTCAGAAGAGGGCATCGAACAAGGGATATCATTGTTGATGTCAGGTGGATCTTGGCTGAAAGCATAGAATACTAGAAGGATGTTTGCCTGTGTTTTATTGACTATGCAAAGACATTCAACTGTGTTGATCATAACAAATTATGGATAACATTAAGAAGAATGGAATTCCAGTACACTTAACTGTGCTCAAGAGGAACCTGTACATAGCCAAGAGGCAGTCGTTCAAACAGAACAATGCAATACTGTGTGGTTTAAAATCAAGAAAGGTGTGCATCAGGGTTGTATCCTTTCACCATACTTATTTAATTTGTATGCTGAGCAAATAATCAGAGAAGCTGTACTATATGAAGAGGAACATGGCATTAGGATTGGTGGAAGACTCATTAACAACCTGCGATACACAGATGATACAACCTTGCTTGTTGAAAGTGAAGAGGACTTGAAGCACTTACTGAGGAAGATCAAAGACTACAGCCTTCAGAATGGATTACACCTCAACATAAAGAAAACAAAAATCCTCACAATTGGACCAGTAAGCAACATTATGATGAGAAAATATTGAAGTTGTCAAAGATTTCATTTTGCTTGGATCCACAATCAACATCCGTGGAAGCAGCAGTCAGGAAATCAAAGGACATATTGCATTGGGCAAGTCTGCTTCAAAAGACCTCTTTAAAGTGTTGAAAAGCAAAAATGTCACTTTGAGGTCTGAGGTACACCTGACCCAAGCCATGGTATCTTCAGTCGCTTCATATGCATGTGAAAGCTGGACAATGGTAAGGAAGACCGAAGGATTGATGCCTTTGAATTATGGTGCTGATGAAGAATATTGAATATACCATGGACTGCTAGAATAGTGAACAAGTCTGCCTTGGAAGAAGTAAGTACAGCCAGAATTCTCCTTGGAAGTAAGAATGGCAAGACTTTCTCACGTACTTTGGACATGTTATCTGGAGGGATCAGTCCCTGGAGAAGGACATCATGCTTGGTAAAGTAGAGGGTCAGCGAAAAAGAGGAAGACCATTGATGAGATGGATTGACACAATGGCTGCAACAATTGGTTCAAACATAGCAACAATTGTGAGGATGGTGCAGGACCAAGCAGTGTTTCGTTCTCTTCTACACAGGGTCGCTATTAGTCGGAACCAAGTAGACGGTATCTAACAGCAAATATAAGTGAATTTTGGTTAAAATGACCCAAACTGAATACTTTAGGCTGCTTATGAAAATTTTAAGTCTCAACAAACAATTGGAAAGTAGAATACAAAACTACTGTTTATGGTGTAATCAAGAAAACTTCAGTTCTCTAGGAATAAATTGAAAGAAAGATGTATAAGATTTTTTATACTAATTACAAAATATTGCTAAAAGAAAGAAAACCTAAATAAATGGAGATACAGACCCATGGTCATGGATTGGAAGATTCAATATTGTTAAGACATAAAGTCTCTCCAAATTGATTTATATATTCAACGCAATCCCAATAAAAATCCTAGTAATTGCATGTATGTTTGTGTGTTAATTGATAGGGTTATTCTAAAATGTATATAAGTATGAACCTAGGAAAAAAGAAAACAGATTCTGATTCATGGCAACCACATATATGTCAGAGTAGCACTGTGCTCCCTAGGGTTTTCAGTGTCTGTTTTTTTCGAAGTAGATTACCAGACCTGTCTTCCAAGGCACCTCCAGGTGGACTTGAACGGCCAGCATTTCAGTTAGCAGCAGAGTACGTTAACTGTTTGTACTAGCCAGGAAATTCTGGAACAGCCAGAAAGTTTGGCTGGGGATACCCCAGAGTTCAAAGGTTGTATTACCAGATTTCAAGACTTACCGTAATTAAGTCAGCATGGTATCAGCACAAGGATACTCAACTAGATCAGTAACACAACAGAGAATTTAGAAATAGGCCCGCGCATATAAGGTTACCTGATTTATGACAAGGCGCACCTCTAGTTCAGTGGGGAGAAATTTTTTTGTTATTTCAGTAAGTAGTGCGGGAGGAATTGGATATCCCTGTGAAGAAAGAAATGTACCTTGACTCCTGCCTCACACCATGCACAGCATTAATTTGAGATTGATTATATACTCAAGGTAAAACAGTAAAGCTTCTTAATGAAAACAGAAGAAACTCGTGACCTTATAGTAGGCGAAGATTTCAAAAACCACTATAAAAGAAAAAAACAAATTGAATTTTATTTTGTTATATATATATATTTATATATACATACCACAATTAAAAAAAAATACCATTAAGAAAGTAAAAAGGCAGACTGCAGACTAGGAGAAGATATTTGCAATAAATATTTTCAACAAAGGACTCATACCTAGTATATGTATAGAAGTCCTTCAAATCAACAAGAATAAGACAATCCAGTTTTTTAAGATGGTGTAAAAATGACGTGGGGACCTCCTCCAACCCCACGACGGGGAAGGAGAACCAAGATCAATAGCACAAGGCTGACTCCCATGAGGCGGAGGCCAGACAAGCCTCCTCTCCTCGCCATCTTTACTAATTCTGACATAATTCACCCCTCGCAGAGCACTCTCTCCTCTGCTGAGTTCGATAATTCATTGCAATGGCCACGCAGAACTCACAGACGATACTAATGATTATGGGGTTTATTAGGGAAGTAACAGGTTACAATTCAGGCTCAGGAACACTCAGGATACAGTTCTTCCATCAGGACAGCCTCTTCCCAACGTGCTCGCAAGCACACCTCTCCCTAGCCCTAGGTCTGTCCCCAAAGGCACTCAGCTTTCTCTGTGGGCCAGGAAGCCCACCAAGCCGTCTCCTGCTGCCAGGTCTCTGCTGACAGGTCTCTCCTGCCACCACTTCTCACCGTCTTCAGTATTCCAGCTTGTGTGCTCTCTCTCGGTCTCCTGCTTCCGGGAACCTCCCAGTGCAGGGATCCTGGGTCCAAAGGACGTGCCCTCTCCTCCTGACAGTTCTTCCTTGGTGGTGGTAGGATCCTCCTCTCTGCTCTGGAATTGGCTCTCTTTTACGGCAGAACTGACCAATCTCTTTGGTGGGTCACAATTATCCTATCACACAGTCCCGCCCAGTCACCAAGATGGAAGTTAAAAGACCGTGGCTAGAAAGGCCACACAGAAGTAATCAGTTGCACCACAGATGGGGAAAAGAACAGTCACTTCAGAAAGGAGGATATCCAAATGACCAAGAAGCACATGAAAAATAGTCAACATCATTACCCATGAGAGAAATGCAAATTAAAACCACAATGAGATGCCACTTCAGCCCACTAAAATAACTAAAATTAAAAAGGCTAATAATATGAAGTCAGTGAATTCTTAAATTTGTTGTGGGAGTGTAAATTTGTACGTCTGCTTTGAAAAACTTTGTATCTACTAAAACAAAATACAGTGACTTCTGAGAGCCGAAACTTGACAGGACTGCCTTGTTTTTCTGGGTCTCCCAAGTTTTCCACCTTTGACAGGGTGAGTCTTACCACTTCTCTTTACTGTTAGTGGAAAGTAATCGAGTTTTCCTTCTTTGACAGACTTCCGCCTTACACAGGTGCCTGCTTTCGCAGGTTTTACTGTATACCTTCTGACCCACCACCAAGTAAAAACCAAAAACCCATTGCCGTCAGGTCGATTCCAACTCTTAGCGTCCTATAGGACAGAGTAGAATTGCCCCATAGGGTTTCCAAGGAGTGGCTGGTGTATTTGAACTGCTGACTTTCGTTTAGCCATCGAGCTGTTAACCACTGTGCCACCAGGGCTTCTTCACTACTAAGTATTTGGAGCCCTGGTGGCGCAGTGGCTAAGAGCTTGGCAGCAGACCAAAAGGTCAGCAGTTCGAATCCACCAGCCGCTCCTTGGAAACCGTATGGGGCAGTTCTACTCTGTCCTACAGGGTTGCAAAGTATATACCCAAGGAAAATGAGTACATATGTCTATCAAAAGACATTTATAAGAATGTTCATAATAGTTCTATTCATAATAACAAAAAACTGGAATTAACACAAATGCCTGTCGGTAGGAGAATTGCTGAACAAACTGTGATATATTCAGACGATGGAACATTAATATCAATTCAGAAAAAAGAATGAGCTCCTGATATGCACAAAAACCTGGATGAATCATAGATCTGTTGAGTGAGAGAAGTCATAAAAGGTATATAAGAAAACATGCTGTTTGATTCCCCATTTATTTGAAGTTCAAAAACAGACAAAGCTAACATACAGTGATAGAAGTCACAATAGTGGTTACCTTCATAGTTGGGCTTGGGTTGCCCAAGGGAACCTTCTGGCCTACTGGAAACATTCTTAATGTTTGTATCTTGAGGTAACTGATGGTTATACAGATCTATACATACATAAAAATTCATTGAGCTTTATACTTAAGACTAGTGTACTTTACACACATTATGTTCTTTATACCTTAGTGAAAAATAAAAAATAAATTTACATCTAAGATTCAGTGTAGGATTGCCTGGTGTGAATAAAGTGGACAGTTAGCCATAAACTTTTATGGGGTAACCTAAGGGAAGCCAAAAGACGTACTTTCAGGGTTTTGTAACTCTCAGAAAATATGACTCGATTATCATTTTTGCTCTTTTGTTTTTTCTCCTTTGCAGCCCCTGACCTTTTTGAGCCTGGGAAATGCTTACCTTGCTCTGAAGAATATCAGTGGGGCGCTTGAAGCCTTTAGACAGGCTTTAAAATTAACTACCAAATGCCCAGAGTGTGAAAGCAGCCTGAAATTGATCCGCTGTATGCAGTTTTATCCTTTTCTGTACAACATCACTTCATCCGTTTGCAGTGGTAAGCAGCTGTTAAAATGCTGGCAAATTAATGAGCTCATCCGAAGTTTCTGTTCAGGTCAACAAAAGACAGAAAATGATTTTCTCAGTTTTCCCAAGGATTTTACATAGCCAATATAATTCTAGATGCATACAAAAGAAGTTAATTCACTACTTACAGTAGATGCCATGGGGTATTAAGGCTTTATTCTCTCCCAGAACCCTCATTGGGAAAGGCTGACAGGACTATATTCAACTGGGATTAATAGGCCAAGAGATTTATTTCCCTCTCCCCATAAATCTCTGGTGTTTTATTATGACCAGTGCTCATGGCAAAGGATATTTTTTCTGTCCATGAAGTCAAACTGAGTAATAGAATTTGAAGCAGTTCTTCCACATACTCATTGAAACACAGCTCTTTTCCTTTCAGTGAAGGAGGTCCAGACCTTTACTGCACCTTTAGTCACCTGACATTAAATGAGCTTTTTGCCTTCTTCCATTTCTTCCCATAGCCACTGGCATATATACATGTACATTAAGTGTATCCGAAAAATACTTGAGTTAATATATAAAACTGTTGCAAATTCATCCATTAGAACCCTCTTTCAGGTTCCCATCTGTGCCTGTTTACTTATTTAACCTTCACTTGCAGAAAAAAAGATCAAGAGTTTAACTCCCAGCCTCAAATTGTGAGAGGTGCAGTTTGCGTATCTGTGGATCCTCATTTCCTAGCCATTGTAGAGCACACACGAGGTGCCCCATTAATGTTCACACTGGATTGTCATATTCAGGCACAGAGCCAACAGTCTAGCTCCTCATTTGAGATATTAAAACCAGGCTCACTTGGTTAAGTGACTTGTCTAAAAGACATCATTAATTACCAGTAGGTTTGGAACCTGAAACTGGTTTTCCTGATTTACTATACCAGACACCTTAGGATTTTAATGGAGTGGGTGAATCATAGACATAGTATTGAGTGAAAGAAGTCATAAAAGGGTACTTAAGAGAACATACTGTTTGATTCCAATAGGGTTTGCATTTTTAAATATCAGGGCCCAGGTTTTTGGTTGAGAAACTAAAATCTGTCAGCAATGATATAGCTGAGTTGTGGATCATTGTTGAGCACAATTTAAACTAGAGTTCTTACATGAATGCTGAAGGCCTAAGATAGTGTTTTAGCAAGATAATACAGTGTTTAGCCTCAGAGTCATACAAATTCATGTTTGAGCCCCAGCTATGCCATTACCGCCTGTCTGATCCCAGTAAAATAAATTAAGTGTCCTCATCTGTAGAATGAAAGATGATGAAACCTATCTCATACACTTGTTCAGAGGCCTATCACATAGTAGATGTTGAATACAAAGTACAAAGTACCGAGAACTCTAAAGGTGCAAATTATGGGTCTTTATCATCTTATTGGTGCCCTGGTGGCACAGTGGTTAGGAGCTTGGCTCCTATCCACAAAGTCAGCAGTTCGAATCCACCAGCCACTCCTTGGAAACCCTGTGGGGGCAGTTCTGCTCTGTCCTTTAGGGTCACTATGAGTCAGAATCAACTCGATGGCAACAGGTTTGGTTTTGGGTTTAATTGTCTTATTTAACCGTAGAAAATACGTTGCGGTCTTTTAAGTTTTGCAGGTTACCCAAGAACAGCCTTGTAAGGATTTCACTTTTTCAATGAGCCACTTATAGAATCTCTTATTATTTTTAATTTACTACATCTCCCTCACTGCTCTTGGCAGTTCTTTCTGTTATTTGGAAGGAAAGCTTTGTGTGTTTATATCTGTGTGTGTGTGTGTGTGTGTGTGTATGTGTATTTGTTGTTGTTGAGTGTCATTGAGTTGATTCCAACTCATAGGACAGAGTAGAACAGCCCCATAGGGTTTCTAAGGCTGTAATCTTTACAGAAGCAGACTGCCACATCTTTCTCCTGATATGTATATGTAGTTATAGATATATAGATACAGATATGGTGACCTTTTTCTAAAAAGTCTTTTTGTTAGCATCAGTTCCACCTGCTTTTGCTTAATATTTCAGTTTCTTGAAATTTATTCTTATTTTACGCCACTTGTGTCAAAAGAGCAAATTCCATTGTCTTGTACCTTTTCCCTAGAATGTAGGCTTCCCTATACTTTGGAACAGATCATTCTCAGAGTTGTTGTATCTGGTATTCCAGATTATCCCAAGAATATTATTGGATCACATTCAATAACAAAAGAAATCCGTTTGATTTGGGAAGAGGGAATAATTTTTTTCATCATTTCAAAGAGAGCTCATCAATTTCATAAAAAATGAAAAACAGCCCCTTTGATATGGCGTATTGTAATTAACTAGTTTACTAATGAAGTAAACACGTCTTTACTCAAATTTGGTAAGGTCGCTGAAAGAAGTTATTACTGCTAATAGACCTAAAATCATTCTGATATGAATTAGAAAAGAATCCAACATCTACCAACACTTAAATAAATACTGGTACTCCCTAATGGAAAAGTATGTGATAGCATTTTTTAAAACTAAAAACTCATTGTTTTTATACCTAGGAAATGTATGCTATAATGCTGTAGATTTTCTAGATTCAAAAACTGATGGATAGTACTGAGCTAATTACAATATTGAATTTTTTGCATTACTTATTTCTACAGTAATCCTGCTCATGCACAGTTGCTTTGTTGAGTTCCAGCTATGAAAAGCAGAAATATAGAAAGGAGCAAAATACCTCTGTAGAGACCATAGAGTTCTTATACTTGAAGTCTAAACAATTACATCTACTGCAGTTATCTTTGAGCATTACTAGACAGTGATTGAAAAAAAAGCCAAAACTTCCCAACAATGAATAGCATTTTGGTACCTTCATTGAAATCAGATGTTTCTGTTTGCGTTTTGCTTTTTAATTTGTACAGTAATGAAATAAGCTTAGTAAGTCATCTTAATAGTCTGACATATCTGTCTGAAGTTTTTATTATGACAGTATAAAGGTTTCAAGAGATCGGTAAAGCTTATGATCTTTTTCCACATAATAACCAAGGAGTTTATATTGTAATTGATTTTTATTAGACAAGAAATTAAGCTGTCCCTTCATCCACCTCTTTCCCAGCCTAAACAATTCTCTTCTGAAAATCTGTTTGAAAAGCTACGAATTTAACATCTTTTCAGATAAGCTTTTCAAGATCAAAAGTAGCTAAGTACTCTTGGAAACCTTTTTAAAATAATTTTTCTGACCACTATTGTTAGTCTTCCACAAATTATTTTTAGATACATATTCAGTAACTATTTTTGGAGCAATTGTGAGATAATGCCTTGAATAGTGTGAGCTTAGTGGTAAAATTGTAGGCAGATGTCAAGTATTTTATTGCTTGTCATATATAATTATGGAATTTTTCCACAGATTTTTAGTTTATGTTTCCTCAAATGCCTGCACAGGTAATGTATCCTGTTACCTTTGGATACTGATTCGTTCATCTTAAAAATACATAATTATTATGCTCACAGAATTTTTCTACTGGTAAAGTCTATAGCTAAATATGTCAGTTAGTACAGAATTATTTATCTGAGTTTATCCAAACTTTTATGAACCTAGAAATAATTTTATTGACTGCCATTTGTTAGGTGCGTATGTTATTATAGCATCTGCTTATCATCTTTCTCTCTTCTAAATAGCATTTAATAAATCTTTTATAGGTAATTTCATGTCAAAACCACAGTTTCAAGGCTGCAGTGAAGGAGAACTTAATAGACTGATTTTTTAATTGCCCACTGTTGAATTGACTGTAAAAGAGAAGTTAGTGCTTTCCAGCTTTAACTGAACATTTTATTTTGGCAGTTTTGAAATACATACTGTTTTCCACATTTATAGGTTTGTTATTTTACAATTTGGTTTAACTTAAATAGAACTGAATTGGTCACATTAACAAACTCATTCTTCAATAACAACATATTTGGCCTTTTTAAAAGCAAAATGGAATCTGTTAAATAAACCTATAATGTTTTTCATTATAAGCTATTTGTAACGTCTCTGAAGTATTCAGAATTAAAAAAGGAATTTTTTTTTATTGTAATTTAGGTGAAAGTTTACAGAGCAAATTAGTTTCTCATTAAACAGTTAATATACAAATTGTTTTGTGACATTGATTGCCAACCTCGAGATATGTCAACACTTTCCCCTTCTCCACCCCAGGTTCCCTGTTTGCATTCGTCCAGTTTTCCTGTCCCTTTCTGCCTTCTCAGCTTTGCTTTTGGGCTGGTGTGCCCATTAGTCTCGTATACATGACTGAACTAAGAAGCACATCCCTCACATGTGTTGTTGTTGGCCCTATAAACCTGTTGCCATCACAGCAACCCTATAGGACAGAGTAGAACTGCCCCCATGGAGTTTCCAAGGAACTCCTGGTGGATTCGAACTGCTGACCTTTTGGTTAGCAGCTGTAGCTTTTACCTACTATGCCACCATGGTTTCCAAAACCAGGGCTCGTCCAGGATTTGAACCTGGGACCTCTCACACCCAAAGCAAGAATCATACCCCTAGACCAACAAGCCACCATGTTTTGGGCCCTTTCTAATCTTTGGCTGAAGGATGAACCTCAGAAGTGACTTCAGTATTGACTTAAAAGAGTGTCCGGGGGCCATACTCTTGGGGTTTCTGCAGTCTCTATCAGACCAGCAAGCCTGGTCTTTTTTTTTTTTTTTTTTTTTTTGAATTTGAATTTTGTTCTACATTTTCCTCCCACTCTGTCCGGGACCCTTTACTGTGATTCCTGCCAGAGCAGTCAGTGGTGGTAACGAGGCACCATCTAGTTGTTCTGGGCTCAGTCTGGTGGAGGTTGTGGTAGTTGTGGTCCATTAGTCCTGTGGACTGATTCCCTTTTGTCTTTGGTCTTCTTCATTCTCCTTTGCCCCAGTCAGGATGGGACCAGTAGATGTATCTTAGACTGCCACTCTCAGGCTTTTAAGACCCCAGTCACTACTCACCACAGTCAGATGTAGACCATTTTCTTTATATATAGACTGTGTTATGCCAGCTGAGCTA